AATCCCTTTGTGTCTGTGCCGAGCGATACGCTTTATTTTTCCAATCAGAAGCAGAAACAAACAACATAAAAGGCCGAGTCACCCAACGCTACCGAAAAATACTTACACACCAGTGTTGTGCCCCCTCCCCTCCAATAGAAAGACTGACAGCTGAGAGATGGGTAACAAGTTTCATCCGGCATCAGGTGACATATAGCTACATAGTTGTAATCACCTGATCTCACCCCAACTGAGGCAAAACCAAAGGCAGAAAGACCCACAAATGAAGAACTGCTGAAGAGAGCTGCACTTAGAGCCTGGCAAAGCATCAGAAAGGAGGAAACCCAGTCTTTGGTCATGTCCATGGGTTCCAGACTTCAGGCAAAGCATCAGAAAGGAGGAAACCCAGTCGTCGGTCATGTCCATGGGTTCCAGACTTCAGGCAAAGCATCAGAAAGGAGGAAACCCAGTCGTCGGTCATGTCCATGGGTTCCAGACTTCAGGCAAAGCATCAGAAAGGAGGAAACCCAATCTTTGGTCATGTCCATGGATTCCAGACTTCAGGCAAAGCATCAGAAAGGAGGAAACCCAGTCTTCGGTCGTGTCCATGGGTTCCAGACTTCAGGCAAAGCATCAAAAAGGAGGAAACCCAGTCTTCGGTCGTGTCCATGGGTTCCAGACTTCAGGCAAAGCATCAAAGAGGAGGAAACCCAATCTTCGGTCGTGTCCATGGGTTCCAGACTTCAGGCAAAGCATCAGAAAGGAGGAAAACCCAGTCTTCGGTCGTGTCCATTGGTTTCAGACTTCAGGCAAAGCATCAGAAAGGAGGAAACCCAGTCTTTGGTCGTGTCCATGGGTTCCAGACTTCAGGCAAAAGCATCAGAAAGGAGGAAACCCAGTCTTCGGTCGTGTCCATAGGTTCCAGACTTCAGGCAAACCATCAGAAAAGGAGGAAACCCAGTCTTCGATCGTGTCCATTGGTTCCAGACTTCAGGCAAAGCATCAGAAAGGAGGAAACCCAGTCTTCGGTCGTGTCCATGGGTTCCAGACTTCAGGCAAAGCATCAAAAAGGAGGAAACCCAATCTTTGGTCGTGTCCATGGGTTCCAGACTTCAGGCAAAGCATCAGAAAGGAGGAAACCCAGTCGTCGGTCATGTCCATGGGTTTCAGACTTCAGGCAAAGCATCAGAAAGGAGGAAACCCAATCTTTGGTCATGTCCATGGGTTCCAGACTTCAGGCAAAGCATCAGAAAGGAGGAAACCCAGTCTTCGGTCGTGTCCATGGGTTCCAGACTTCAGGCAAAGCATCAAAGAGGAGGAAACCCAATCTTCGGTCGTGTCCATGGGTTCCAGACTTCAGGCAAAGCATCAGAAAGGAGGAAACCCAGTCTTCGGTCGTGTCCATAGGTTCCAGACTTCAGGCAAAGCATCAGAAAGGAGGAAACCCAGTCTTCGATCGTGTCCATTGGTTCCAGACTTCAGGCAAAGCATCAGAAAGGAGGAAACCCAGTCTTCGGTCGTGTCCATGGGTTCCAGACTTCAGGCAAAGCATCAGAAAGGAGGAAACCCAGTCTTCGGTCGTGTCCATAGGTTCCAGACTTCAGGCAAACCATCAGAAAGGAGGAAACCCAGTCTTCGATCGTGTCCATTGGTTCCAGACTTCAGGCAAAGCATCAGAAAGGAGGAAACCCAGTCTTCGATCATGTCCATGGGTTCCAGACTTCAGGCAAAGCATCAGAAAGGAGGAAACCCAGTCTTCGTTCATGTCCATGGGTTCCAGACTTCAGGCAACGCATCAAAAAGGAGGAAACCCAGTCTTCGGTCATGTCCATGGGTTCCAGACTTCAGACAAAGCATCAGAAAGGAGGAAACCCAGTCTTCGGTCATGTCCATAGGTTCCAGACTTCAGGCAAAGCATCAGAAAGGAGGAAACCCAGTCTTCGATCGTGTCCATTGGTTCCAGACTTCAGGCAAAGCATCAGAAAGGAGGAAACCCAGTCTTCGATCATGTCCATGGGTTCCAGACTTCAGGCAAAGTATCAGAAAGGAGGAAACCCAGTCTTTGGTCATGTCCATGGGTTCCAGACTTCAGGCAACGCATCAAAAAGGAGGAAACCCAGTCTTCGGTCATGTCCATGGGTTCCAGACTTCAGGCAAAGCATCAGAAAGGAGGAAACCCAGTCTTCGGTCATGTCCATGGGTTCCAGACTTCAGACAACGCATCAAAAATGAGGAAACCCAGTCTTCGGGCATGTCCATGGGTTCCAGACTTCAGGCAAAGCATAAAAAAGGGGGAAACCCAGTCTTCGGTCATGTGCCTGGGTTCCAGACTTCAGGCAAAGCATCAGAAAGGAGGAAACCCAGGCATTTGGTCATGTCCATGGGTTCCAGACTTCAGGCAAAGCATCAAAAAGGAGGAAACCCAGTCTCTGGTCACATCCATGGATTCCAGACTACAGGCAAAGCATCAGAAAGGAGGAAACCCAGTCTCTGGTCACATCCATGGATTCCAGACTTCAGGCAAAGGATCAGAAAGGAGGAAACCCAGTCTTCGGTCATGTCCATGGGTTCTAGACTTCAGGCAAAGCATCAGAAAGGAGGAAACCCAGTCGTCGGTCATGTCCATGGGTTCCAGACTTCAGGCAAAGCATCAGAAAGGAGGAAACCCAGTCTTTGGTCATGTCCATGGGTTCCAGACTTCAGGCAAAGCATCAGAAAGGAGGAAACCCAGTCTTTGGTCATGTCCATGGGTTGCAGACTTAAATCAGTCATTTCCAGTAAAGGATTCTCAACAAAATATTATAAATGAACATTTTATTTATGATTATATTCATTTGTCCAATTTCTTTTGGTCCCTTGAAAAAAGAGGGGGATGGCTACTCTTAAGAGCTACATAATTACATAGTTAGTCTGGCTGAATAAAGACACCAAACCATCCAGTTCAACCTCAGAGGATGTATGCACTTATGTTTCTACCATTTCCGACAGGCCTGGGACAAAAAATAGGCCCAGGCATTTAGACTGAGAAGCCCCAAGTCTGGGGGCCCTTTCCCTGGAGCCCGGTGGCGGAAACACCAGGGCCGGGTCGCAAGAGAGACCTTTGAAACCCTAGTAGTTCCACCACCCTGGTAGTTATTATTTTCTACAATTTTATACTTTATTATTTTTTTACATTTTTTTTTAGAAGTCCCATTGGGGGGCTTTGGAAAGAAAGAAAGAAAGAAAGAAGGAAGGAAGGACGGAAGGAAGGAAGGAAGGAAGGAAGGAAGGAAGGAAGGAAGGAAGGAAGGAAGGAAGGAAAGAAGGAGAGAGAGAGAGAAAGAGAGAGAGAGAGAGAGAGAGAGAGAGAGAGAAAGAAAGAGAGAAAGAAAGAGAAAGAAAGAGAAAGAAAAGAAAGAAAGAAAGAAAGAAAGAAAGAAAGAAAGAAAGAAAGAAAGAAAGAAAGAAAGAAAGAAAGAAAGAAAGAAAAAGCGAAAGAGAGAACAAAAGAAAGATAGAGAAAGAGAAAAAAATAAAGAGAAAAAAAAGAAAGAGAGAAAAGAGAAAAAAAGAAAAAAGAAAAGAGAGAGAGAGAGAAAAGAGAGAAAGAAAGAGAGAAAAAGAAAAAAAAGAAAGAGAGAAAAGAGAAAGAGAGAAAAAAAAGAAAGAGAGAAAGCGTAAAAAAGATAGAAAGAGAGAGAAAGAGAAAGAGAGAAAAGAGAAAAAAAAAAAAAAAAAAAAGAAAGAAGAGAGAGAGAGAAAGAGAAAAAAAAGAAAGAGAGAAAGAAAAGAAAAAAAGAAAAAAAAAAAAAAAAAGAAAAGAGAGAGAGAGAAAAAAAAGAAAGAGAAAGAAAGAGAAAAGAAGAAAAAAAAGAAAAAAAAGAAAAGAGAGAGAGAGAGAAAGAGAAAAAAAGAGAGAGAAAGAAAGAAAGATAAAGGGAGAGAGAAAGAGAGAAATAGAAAAGAGAAAAAAAGAAAGAAAGAGAGAGAAAAAGTTGAAGAGAAAAAGAGAAAGAGGAAAAGAGATAAAGAGAAAGAAAAATAGAAAGAGAAAGAAAGAGAGAAAAAGAAAAAAATATATATTCTATTCTTTTATCTTCTATTCTTTTATATTTTATGTTATTATTTTCTTTTCTATTCTATTCTGATTTATTCTATTCTTTTCAAAATTCGAATTTGGGAAGACGGCAATATTCTAACACTAATACAACAATCTTTGAAGGAAATCAGCAACAGTCAGAAATATGTTTCAAGTTTATTTTACGAATTTGTTTTTGAATTCAGATAATTCGTTATTTCAGACTAAATTTTGTTTTGTTAGTCTAGATTCAGTTAAATTTGTTACTATTGTAATTCGGAAATCCGTATGTGTTTATACATCTGAATTTCTGGAAAAAGAAAAATTTGTCCAAATTGTGTTTCAGAATGAAACGAAGTGCACATCTATAGAGAGGAGAGGATTCATTTTCAGTACTCTCTGGATTGCTAAATCCTTATCAGAGACCCAGAATTTCAGAGGGTTGAAGAGATTTGGGTGGGAAGAATATCTAAACCTTGATTATAGGGACTCCTGTCCTGAAAGGGTTAAGCCATATGCAAAGGGAATCTTGAAAACCTGCAGGAAGGAAGCAGTAGGCATCTGTGGAGGTGTGAATAGAGAGCGACTCACAGCTGTAGGGAGCGAACTCTATGGAGACTGAGGCCCTGGATTAGCTGAACTCCTGCCATTTGTTTTTGGGACCCCTGAAGCAGATAGGAAACCCCAAAACCACAGTATGGGACAGGTAGTTTGACGGTGAGCCATGTTGTATGATTTTTGGTATACCACGTTTGTGAATCCTTTGCTTTATGTTTGCTAAAGAAATCCATTTATGTTTTCCTGTTTTGGAGAGATCAGTAAGGACTACTTACCTTTTATCAGCAGCTTGCTGGTGATCTTGGGCCTCCATATGACTACATATAAACTATATTGCCAAAAGTATTGCCCCACCCCCTCCAAATAATTGATTCAGGTGTTCCAATCCCCTCCATATCATGTGATTCAGGTGTTCCAATCCCCTCCATATCATGTGATTCAGGTGTTCCAATCCCATCCATATCATGTGATTCAGGTGTTCCAATCCCATCCATATCATGTGATTCAGGTGTTCCAATCCCCTCCATATCATGTGATTCAGGTGTTCCAATCCCCTCCATATCATGTGATTCAGGTGTTCCAATCCCCTCCATATCATGTGATTCAGGTGTTCCAATCCCCTCCATATCATGTGATTCAGGTGTTCCAATCCCCTCCATATCATGTGATTCAGGTGTTCCAATCCCATCCATATCATGTGATTCAGGTGTTCCAATCCCATCCATATCATGTGATTCAGGTGTTCCAATCCCATCCATATCATGTGATTCAGGTGTTCCAATCCCATCCATATCATGTGATTCAGGTGTTCCAATCCCATCCATATCATGTGATTCAGGTGTTCCAATCCCCTCCATATCATGTGATTCAGGTGTTCCAATCCCCTCCATATCATGTGATTCAGGTGTTCCAATCCCATCCATATCATGTGATTCAGGTGTTCCAATCCCCTCCATATCATGTGATTCAGGTGTTCCAATCCCCTCCATATCATGTGATTCAGGTGTTCCAATCCCCTCCATATCATGTGATTCAGGTGTTCCAATCCCCTCCATGGCCACCTAGGCCATGCCGCTAGGCATGCAGACTACTTCTACAAACATTGGTGAAAGAATGAGTCGCTCTCAGGAGCTCAGTGACTCCAAGCGTGGTCCTGTGATAGGTGGTCACCTGGGCAATAAGTCCATCCGTGACATTTCCTGGCTACTAAATATTCCACGCTCAACTGTTAGTGGGATTATAACAAAGTGGAAGACACTGGGAACAACAGCCACTCAGCCACCAAGTGGTAGGCCACGTCACATGACAGGGCGGGGGGTCAGCGCACGCTGAAGCGCACAGTGCGCAGAAGTCACCAACTGTCTGCAGAGTCAATAGCTAAAGACCTCCAAACTTGGTGTGGCCTTCAGATGAGCCCAACAACAGTGCGTAGAGAGCTTCATGGAATGGGTTTCCATGGCCGAGCAGCTGCATCCAAGCCTTCCATCACCAAGTGCAATGCAAATCGTCGGATGCCGTGGTGTAAAGCACGCCACCACTGGACTCTAGAGCAGGGGAGATGTCTGGCAATCCGATGGACGTGTCTGGGTTTGTCAGTTGCCAGGAGAACGGTACTTGCCTGACTGCATTGTGCCAAGTGTAAAGTTTGGTGGAGGGGGATTATGGTGTGGGGTTGTTTTTCAGGGGTTGGGCTTGGCCCCCTAGTTCCAGTGAAGGGAACTCTTAAGGTGACATTTTGGACAATTTCATGCTCCCAACTTTGTGGGAGGAGTTTGGGGATGGCCCCTTCCTGTTCCAACATGACTGCGCACCAGTGCACAAAGCAAGGTCCATAAAGACATGGAGGAGCCAGTTTGGGGTGGAGGAACTTGACTGTCCTGCACAGAGTCCTGACCTCAACCCCATAGAACACCTTTGGGATGAATTAGAGCGGAGACTGTGAGCCAGCCCCCTCCCCCGACATCAGTGCCTGACTGACAAATGTGCTTCTTGAAGAATGGTCCAACCTTCCCATAGACACCCTCCTAAACCTTGTGGGGGGCCTTCCCAGAAGAGTTGAAGCTGTTATAGCTGCAAAGGGCGGGGCCAACTCAATATTGAACCCTACGGACTAAGACTGGGGGGGCCATTACAGGTCATGTGTGTGGAAAGGGCGGGGCCAACTCAATATTGAACTCTACGGACTAAGACTGGGGGCCATTAAAGGTCATGTGTGCGGAAAGGGCGGGGCCAACTCAATATTGAACCCTACGGACTAAGACTGGGGGCCATTAAAGGTCATGTGTGTGGAAAGGGCGGGGCCAACTCAATATTGAACCCTACGGACTAAGACTGGGGGGCCATTAAAGGTCATGTGTGTGGAAAGGGTGGGGCCAACTCAATATTGAACCCTACGGACAGACTTGGAGGCCATTAAAGGTCATGTGCGTGGAAAGGGCGGGGCCAACTCAATATTGAACCCTACGGACTAAGACTGAGGGGCCATTAAAGGTCATGTGCGTGGAAAGACCCGTGGCCAATACTTGGGGCAATATAGTTTGTATTTTATTTTGTTTATGTATTATTTGTTGCTAATATAAAAGTTATGTTCAGAATGTATCTTCTTACATAAGCGGTCCATATAGGGAAATTGATGTGGCATTACACACTTTCAGGTCATTACTGAAGACACTCTTTACCTCCAGAGGAAAGGAGATTTAACTCCCACGTATGGAAAAAGGCTTCTTCACAGTAAGAGCTGTGACAATGTGAAATAGACTCTCTCAGAAATTAGATTGTTTAAAAAAAAAAAGAGCTGGATACATTCCTAAATGTACAAACCATAACTGGATACTAATATTTATAGGTCATAACATCAGGGAAAATCTGATTGCCTCCTGGGGGATCAGGAAGGAATTCTTTCCCACACTGGGGTGAATTGGATCGTGCTTTATTGTAGGTTTTTTTGCCTTCCTCTGGATCAACTGTGGGCATAGGATTGTGTATATGGAGTTTTTCTATTTTTTTTTTTTCCTTTCTATTGGTTGAACTCAATGGACTTTTGTTTTGATTCAGCCTAACTATGTAACTGTAATTGTGTGCTAATGGTAATGCCAAAGCTGTGTGCAGCTATTGAAGAACAATGCAGCGTTTATGAAGCTGGTGTTCTCTGTGAAGGACACTCCGTGAGGAATAATGAACAATAAAGTCACTCTTTTCTCTATGAAAAATACACCGTAATGTGCAGTTGAAAAAAAAAAAAAAAAAAAAAAAAAAAGCATATTTCTATATAACAAGCTTCTGGGGAATAAATCATTTATCTGCACCAGTAATAATAATACACAGACTAATTCATATTAATGAGATATATTATATGTGTAAAGCACCAAATTCCTGCCCCCCCCAGCCCCCTTGGAACCCAGTATCATTATCTAGCACCCAGGGACCCAGGGCAAGGATGGTAAGCTGCACCCCCCCCCCCCCCCCAAGATATATCTATTTATTTAGGTACATATATAGCTCCATCAGTTTATGCATCACTTTACATATATATTGTACATTCACATCAGTCCCCGCCCCCGAGGAGCGTACAGTCCAAGGTCCCTAACTCACATTCATACATACACATACTAGGGACAATTTAGACAGGAGCCAATTCACCTCCCAGCATGTTTTTGGAGTGTGGGAGGAAACCGGAGTACCCCGGAGGAAACCCACACAGGCATAGAGAGAACATGCAAACTCCAGGCAGGTGGTGCAGTGACTGGGATTCTTCGAACCAATGACCCGAGTACTGCCAGGGGGAAGTGCTAACCATTTAGCCACTGTGCTGCCCCCCATGAGCATTCTATGTCTGCAAAAATGCCCCTCCCCCCCAAAAAAAAAATATTCAAGCACTACTTTGCACAATAGCCCTCGAGCATTTATTCCCCGTGCAAGCCAAAATTCTCCCCAAACAAATTTTCCCCCTGCTCCCAGTACAAATCCCTCACCTGCTGAAATCCCACCTCCCAGTGCAAATCTTTGACCCCCCCGGGTTTCCTTACCTGACTCCATCTCCTTTTTGCTGGAAGGAGATGGGGCAGATATGGAAACCCTTCACAGTCCCAGGAGAGCTGCAGTGGCAGGAGAAGGAGCTGCAAGAGAGAGAAAGCACAGCCTGCACCTCCTCCCGGTTGTCTTCCGTTCTAATTTTGCTTGTCCGAGTAGTAATGCTGCTGTCACTACTCCTGTCAGCTTGTAGCAGCAGGAACTTTTTAAGTGGCGTCCCCCTATGGCACCCAGGGCAGCCACCTCTCCTGCCCCCCCTTGTCCCAGCACTGACTGAACCCCAATAAATACACAGACCGCAAGACAAGGATTTGAAATGACCTCAACAGTCCTTTATGGAACCACAAAGAAACATTTAACAATTTAATAAATATAACCAAAATTAAAATATACCAGATAAACTGTTTGGTTCTAAGATGGGGATCTATGGTGCTTGCTAGTCTAAAGGCTTGACTATGATCCAACCCTGCCCCCAGCTGCACCCCACTGGCTCGAGGTCACATTTACCATTTTCTGCCTTCACAATTGACAGAGTCCTAATAAAGCAACCAATACCAGAAGGGAACAGGGCTGTCTTGATAAATGGGCACTGTCCAGGGGCCCCAGGTGCATGGGGGCCCCAGGATAATCTTGCATTACATTATACTTGTCAACTGTCCCAGATTTGCAGGGACAGTCTCGATTTTTACTAAGCTCTCCTGAGATGGCCCAGGCAGCGTCCCAGAACCTGTACTGTGCCCTCCTGACTCCCCCCTGTACTGTGCCCTCCTGACTCCCCCCTGTACTGTGCCCTCCTGACTCCCCCCTGTACTGTGCCCTCCTGACTCCCCCCTGTACTGTGCCCTCCTGACTCCCCCCTGTACTGTGCCCTCCTGACTCCCCTGTACTGTGCCCTCCTGACTCCCCTGTACTGTGCCCTCCTGACTCCCCCCTGTACTGTGCCCTCCTGACTCCCCTGTACTGTGCCCTCCTGACTCCCCCTGTACTGTGCCCTCCTGACTCCCCCTGTACTGTGCCCTCCTGACTCCCCCCTGTACTGTGCCCTCCTGACTCCCCCTGTACTGCGCCCTCCTGACTCCCCCTGTACTGTGCCCTCCTGACTCCCCCCGTACTGTGCCCTCCTGACTCCCCCCTGTACTGTGCCCTCCTGACTCCCCCCTGTACTGTGCCCTCCTGACTCCCCCCTGTACTGTGCCCTCCTGACTCCTTTCTGTACTGTGCCCTCCTGATCCCAGTATTTTGTCTCCTGACTCCCCCTGTACTGTGCCCTCCTGACTCCCCCCTGTACTGTGCCCTCCTGACTCCCCCCTGTACTGTGCCCTCCTGACTCCCCCCTGTACTGTGCCCTCCTGACTCCCCCCGTACTGTGCCCTCCTGACTCCCCCCTGTACTGTGCCCTCCTGCCTCCCCCTGTACTGTGGCCTCCTGACTCCCCCCTGTACTGTGCCCTCCTGACTCCCCCCATACTGTGCCCTCCTAACTCCCTATGTACTGTACCCTCCTGACTCCCCCCGTATTGCGCCCTCCTGACTCCCCCGTACTGTGCCCTGCTGCCTCCCCCGTACTGTGCCCTCCTGACTCCCCCCTGTACTGTGCCCTCCTGACTCCCCCCTGAACTGTGCCCTCCTGCCTAGCCCCCCCCCCCCCCCCCCTTACTGTGCCCTCCTGATCCCAGTATTATGCCCTCCTGATCCCAGTATTGTGCCCTCCTGACCCCCCCTGTATTGTGCCCTCCTGATCCCAGTACTGTGCCCTCCTGCCTAGCCCCCTCCCCCCCCGTACTGTGCCCTCCTGACCCCCCCTGTATTGTGCCCTCCTGATCCCAGTATTGTGCCCTCCTGTCTAGCCCCCCCCCCCCTCCCCGTACTGTGCCCTTTGTGTTGATTAGCCCTTGATTTATGCCATGTTTTCATATTGTTTAAAGTCTTTTATTGAAAGTCCTAATAAATATCTGTTTAATTCTGTCGACTATTTATACTTTAATTCTTGGGAGTAGGAGCATAAATTGGTAAATTGGGGCAGGCTGGTAGGGGCCCCAGCACATTACTTTGCCCAGGGGCCCAAAAATCTTCTACTTTTCCAGCCGCCATGATAAGCCTTCCTAGAATCTGACCAGCTGATGTATAAGAAATGACAGGGCAGTTGGTACAACTTTCTCCTCCCCCAAGCTTCCAGCATTCATCCCAGCTCCTACCCCTCCACTCCACCCAACCACTTGACAGTCAACCTCCAATCAGGTAAGCCCTCTTGTACCCTACGTATTTTAACTCTTTCTTGGAACCATTCCCCCCCCCCGATCATGTAGCCTCACCATTGATTGTATTCTTCTGAGTCTGTCTTTGGGCAGCACAGTGGCTAAATGGTTAGCACTTCCGCCTGGCAGTACTGAGGTCATTGGTTCGAATCCCAACCCACGGCACCACCTGCCTGG